TCACAAAAGCAACGTGAAACTTTCACAAAAGCAAAGTGAAATTTTCACAAAAACAATGTGAAACTTTCACAAAAGCAAAGTGAAATTTTCACAAAAACAAAGTGAAACTTTCACAAAACAATGTGAAACTTTCACAAAGCAAAGTGAAATTTTCACAAAACAAAGTGAAACTTTCACAAAAACAACGTGAAACTTTCACAAAGCAAAGTGAAATTTTCACAAAACAATGTGAAACTTTCACAAAACAAAGTGAAATTTTCACAAAACAAAGTGAAACTTTCACAAAAACAATGTGAAACTTTCACAAAAACAAAGTGAAATTTTCACAAAACAAAGTGAAACTTTCACAAAAACAATGTGAAACTTTCACAAAAGCAAAGTGAAATTTTCACAAAAACAATGTGAAACTTTCACAAAAGCAAAGTGAAATTTTCACAAAAACAAAGTGAAACTTTCACAAAAACAACGTGAAACTTTCACAAAAGCAAAGTGAAATTTTCACAAAAACAATGTGAAACTTTCACAAAAGCAAAGTGAAATTTTCACAAAAACAAAGTGAAACTTTCACAAAAACAATGTGAAACTTTCACAAAAGCAAAGTGAAATTTTCACAAAAACAAAGTAAAATTTTCACAAAAACAAAATGAGATTTTAACAAAAAAATAAAGAGAGATTTTTCACAAAAACAAAGTGAAATTTTCACAAAAACAAAGTGAATCTTTCACAAAATCAATGGTGTACGACAGTGGGCAGAGTTTCAATCAGACTATTATGTGAATGACATGAAGCAATGTATGAAGTGCGTGGGCTAAGTCTTCGTTTCTACTATAATGTGTTAAAAACGCTTCTAAACTATAACTTCAGCTCTGTCTAAATATATATTTTTGTTTTACCATTGCAAAAAGTGGGGGGGGGGGGAGCTTCAGACCTCCTAGCCCCCCCGGCTCTTGGGTCCATTAATGACAATTTCATTGAATTTTAAAAGCATTTCAACACAAGACAAAAACAATATTGATTTTTGCTACGATCGATGCCTCATATTTTATCGTTTAGTTAACTGATGATTGCTTGCACTGCAACACATAAACGCGTGAAACTTGGAGTAATGACATATAACGCTTTTCTTGTTTTCAAAGAGAAAAGCAAAGAAGAAAGCACATTTAAATTATATAAGTTCTTACAGTTTATCTTACCTCTCTGACAGATAAAAGACGTGGTATAATTGCATGGGACGTCATTCCACTGGCTATTGGAATAATAATAATGTACACAATCCTCTACACCAAAACGATTATTTGGTTCATTACGATGCCAATTTGTGAAATTAGGTTTGGTATTCTGGATTGTGTAAAACATATTGTCACTTTTTTTGCGAAACAAGCCAATATAAGGATGAGTAAGCCCTTCTCTTTCCGAAATTTGGAAAATTGCTTGGTTTTCATAACGGTCTGTTGGAACAGCAAGATCTCCCCCTATTTGTTGACAAAGTCCTCTAGCTTTCTCCCATGTTGTTTGTATCTTACTGAAGTAATAACAAGTTGAATTTATTTCAATCCAGCAAGACGGACAGCTAGTCGCTTTGCCAACTAAAAGAGTCAAAAATCAATTGCATGAATAACATAGAATCTTCAACAGAAAAGGTTAAGATGTACATTATTGTAATGAACATCTAGTTCAATAAATCATCAATCGCACCTTGTAGATTGAACACGACAATAATCAAAAGATATTTTAACATTAACATTTTCAAACCATGAAAATGCATGAAAACACATATGTTTAACTTCCGTTAGTGAAGTAATTTTTAACTTAGTTAAATGACTTTAAACTTTTTCTTGAATATTCGCGAATATCAATCGAAATACCTATCTAAATCTCTATTATTCTTTTCTATTGACATATGCCCAAGCCGTTGCCTTTGGAGCTCAATGACAAACCTGCAAAGCAGCAAAGCAACAATTTATAACTCAGTTCTAGATTAAAGCAAACAAAAAGGACCTTTGTCCAAGTATACAAAATCAATTTTCATTAAGTGTTTCGTCTTGACGGAAAACGCTTCATCATAATGGATTTTATAGGGGCATGCAATAAGTATAATAGATAATGTCAATCCACATTTTTAACGGAAGGCAATAAAATAATGAAAATAAATATTGTAACATTTCATGGGTGGAGTGGCGTGACGTTCTTGTTGCTAAATTTTCTAAAATTTCAGCACAGCAGGATAAATAATATATTTTATATTTTACATGAATTCATGTATTAGGCCTGTTTCAAACGTCGAACTTTACAAAGAAAAAAGAATATGAGGTGAACTTCCTCATTTTCTTTTGATTTAAATGCGTTCGGTTCATGTAAAGTTTGACGTTTGAAACAAGCCTTAGAGGTGGGGATCACATCAGTTGGTTTTATGCAACAGAAATATGTGGCCAAACATCAGTTTGTGTCAATTTTTTATATTAATCAAGTAAATCTATTTCTATTACGTTTAAATTACACATCTTTCGTTGAACGGCAATGATATTTTTATTTTTATTTTCCTTCCAGATGTACAGACACGTTTTTCGCACGTGCTTTGCATGTGACAGAATCGTGTTAATACAAATGAACAGATAGTCTTTTGTCGGTGGCAACTAAAATTTTTAGAAAGCTAATAACTAATTACATATGATTGCTTTGTTGTTAGTATAAACTAACACTGAGTTTCATTTTATATTAGAATAAAACACAACGGCTTTTTTGTAGCCTTCAGTGACGTGGCTAGCTTAAAAATTTGTCTTGTTATACAAATATTTTGTGTTTACTACAACACTGCAAAAACAATGAATCCCTAGATACTGCTCTGAAATTCATATATATTACATATCTTTCATTGAACGGCAATGATTATTTTTTATTCCTCCTCGACCTTACAAAATATTAAGTCCAGGGGTGAAAAATTTATATAAGACCTGATTATCATAAAAAGCTAAAGCATGCTATATACGGATTTCTTGAATTATTATCTGCAAAACTTCGTGAAAATGAACAGGAAACAAAGATGACCATTTTGACAACATTTGACAGTGGTCGACAATTTACTTTCAATGCAATTTGATTTTTTAATGCAATTTAATTAAATGAGGACAACTAAATCAACTACAGCAACTTTTTGTAAAAATTCTCAACTTTATGACATGATATATTAACGTCCTCGTATCGGGGTTGCCACAGTAACATCTAGCTCTTTTGAGTACATCCCGCGTTCTGAATTTTTTGCCAATACTTAAGTGTTTCAGGTTTGTTGATTCCACTTGGTCCACCATTATGAATTCGAGCAAAATCTTTACATGTAGGATTGTGGCCAAGTTTACCGTAGGTGGCATACTCGTTCATATAATCTGCAAACAAATAAATTTTTGCAATGAACATCGAGTTCAATAAATCATCAATCAGCACCTTGTAGATTGAACACGACGATAATCAAAAGATATTTTAACATTAACATTTCCAAACCAAAAAGATATTAAACGACAGAACTTGAAAGACCAAACGACGCACAGGAAAAACGATTTGATGAAATGAGAATACTTGGTATGATTTGAAGTGTATATTGGGAACCGACCAGCTTGTTGCTGAAACATTTAAACGTTATAAGGCGAAATATATTGTTATGCAAACAATAGTAAATGCATGAAAACACATAAGTTTAACTTCCGTTAGTGAAGAAATTTTTAACTTAGTTAAATGACTTTAAACTTTCTCTTGAATATTCGCAAATATCAATCGTAATAGCTATCTAAATCTCTATTATTCTTTTCTATTGACATATGCCTAAGCCGTTGCCTTTTGAGCTCAATGAAAAACCTGCAAAGCAGCAAAGCAACAATTTATAACTCAGTTCTAGATTAAAGCAAACAAAAAGGACCTTTGTCCAAGTATACAAAATCAATATTCATTAAATGTTTCGTCTTGACGGAAAACGCTTCATCATAATGAATTTTATAGAGCCATGCAATAAGTAGAACAGATAATGTCACTCCACTTTTTTAACGGAAGGCAATAAAATAATGAAAATAAATATTGTAACATTTCATGTGTGGAGTGGCGTGGAGTTCTTGTTGCTAAATTTTCTAAAATTCCAGCACAGCAGGATAAATAATATATTTTATATTTTACATGAATTCATATCTTAGGCCTGTTTCAAACGTCGAACTTTACAAGAAAAAATAAAATGAGGTGAACTTCCTCATTTTCTTTTGTTTTAAATGCGTTCGGTTCATGTAAAGTTTGACGTTTGAAACAGGCCTTAGAGATGGGGATCAGATCAGTTGGTTTTATGCAACAGAAATATGTGGCCAAACATCAGTTTGTGTCAATTTTTTATATTAAGCAAGTAAATCTATTTTTATTACGTTTAAATTACATATCTTTCGTTGAACGGCAGTGATATTTTTTATTTTATTTTCCTTCCAGACGTACAGACACGTTTTTCGCACGTGCTTTGCATTTGACAGAATCGTGTTACTACAAATGAACAGATAATCTTTTGTCGGTGGTAACTGAAATTTTTAGAAAGCTAATAACTAATTACATATGATCGCGTTGTTGTTAGTATAAATTAACGCTGAGTTTCATTTTATATTAGAATAAAAGACAACGGCTTTTTTGTAGCTTTCAGTGACGTGGCTAGCTTGAACATTTGTCTTGCTATGCAAATTTTTTGTGTTTACTCGAACACTGCAAAAACAATGAATCCCTAAATACTGCTCTGAATTTCATATATATTACATATGCTTCGTTGAACGGCAATGATTATTTTTTATTCCTCCTCGACCTTAAAAAATATTAAGTCCAGGGGTGATATTATATATAAAACCATATTATCATAAACAGCTAAAGCATGCTATATACGGATTTTTTGATTCATTATCTGCAAAAAGTCGTTAAAAATGAACAAGACGCAAACATGAGCATTTTGACAGCATTTGACAGTGGTCGACAATTTACTTTCAATGCAATTTGATTTTTTAGTGCAATTTAATTAAAATGAGGACAACTAAATCAACTACAGCAGCTTTTTGTAAAAATTCTCAACTTTATGATATGATATATTAACGTCCTCGTATCGGGGTTGCCACAGTAACATCTAGCTCTTTTGAGTACATCCCGCGTTCTGAATTTTTTTCCAATACTTAAGTGTTTCAGGTTTTTTGATTCCATCTGGTCCACCATTATGAATTCGAGCATAATCTTTACACGTAGGATTGTGGCGAAGTTTAGGTTTGGTGGCATGTAATTTCATATAATCTGTAAAAAACTTAATTTTAAAAGAGTTGTTTTGAAAAAATTAAATAATTTTAAGATTTGGAATTGACATTCAAGATCGTAGAATTTTAAAAGAATAAATCTGTTCAATTCATATATGTCTACGTAAACACACTATATATTTAACCCTTTACTGCATGATTTTTTGGGCCATGGAATTCCATCAAGTCCATTGACTGTTGTTCTCTAGCTACACTGCGTAAGAAAGGGTTAAAACTAAAGCAGTTAAAACTCTAGTAACGAAAAAATTGAAATTAAAATGAAATGAATTTTTACCTTTCAATATTAATAATTATTAGTAATTTATACCTTTATTCCATAAAATTGTGATGAATATTTATCATGATTAAAAAATTAAATGAAATAACATGGAAGCGACTCTTGGTCATGTAGAATTTATTTTCGTTTTGCAGACACTGAATCGCATCATGAATGTAAGGAAAGGAGGTCTTAAAAATTTATCTCTCTGAAAATCAATAGATTGCATGAACGCGCTTTATTTTAAACAATTGATATCTTATTAGCTATATATGTTTTACTCTGAGACTAAAAAAAAGAAATAACAGCACAAGCCTTTTCTTAACTGTTAAACTGAAAGCCAAAAATTCCCACTTTCCAAAATTAATTTCAAGTAACTGAAAAGAACCAGTGAAAGATTCTTAATGCTATCACAAATATTGTTCAATAAAGCGGCTGACAAGTCTAGGATCACAATGCCAATAAGCTCTCACGTTGTTGATCGGAAATCAACGTTGCAAGATCTTTGTATTTTTTGATTTGGCTTTCTCTCAATTGACTCCATACATTTTAATGTTTTCAATAGTATTTTACCAAAGAATTTAACTTACTTTGAATGGTAGTTTCTGCGCAAGGAAAAGTGTCAACGCATTCTCGATAGCCAAGACCTGGACTTGAAGCGTCGATCCAATAAACACGTTGAATTTGATATGGTCAACAAGACCTGCCATTATCTCCACATCTTACATCTTTACGGCAGCCAGACTCAACATTGCAAATACATCTCAAGCAAGTACTTGACACAGGGCCGGAAAAATTGTAATCTACAAGGTTTAGCGATATATATATGCGTAGCAGTATGAACATTAACGGTATTTCTTGCTATGGCTTAATTGTATATGGGAGTATTCACACGATGAAATTTTATGTAAATTTTCCATGTAGAAATTTTTCACTCACCTTGAATAGAATAAGGTATAATGCAAAATAAAGCAAAGAAGAAAGCAGAATTAAATTATTTAAGTTCTTACAGTTTATTTTACCTCTCTGACAGATAAAAGACGTCTCATATTTGCATGGGACGTCATTCCACTGGCTATTGGAATAATAATAATGTACACAATCCTCTACACCAAAACGATTATTTGGTTCATTACGATGCCAATTTGTAAATATAGGTTTGGTATTCTGGATTGTGTAGAACATCTTGTCACTTTTTTCGCGAAACAAACCAATATAAGGATGAATAAGCCCTTGTTTTTCCGAAGTTTGGAAAATTGCTTGGTTGTCATAACGGTCTTTTGGAACAGCAAGATCTCCCCCTATTTGTTGACAAAGTCCTCTAGCTTTCTTCCACGTTGTTTTTGTCTTACCGAAGTAATAACAACTTGAATTTAGTTCAATCCAGCCAGACGGACAGTTAGTCGCTTTGTTAACTAAACGAGTCAAAAATCAATTGCATGAAAAACATGGAATCGTCAGCAGAAAAGGTTAAGATGTACATTATTGCAATGAACATCGAGTTCAATAAATCATCAATCAGCACCTTGTAGATTGAACACGACGATAATCAAAAGATATTTTAACATTAACATTTTCAAACCAAAAAGATATTAAACGACAGAATTTGAAAGACCAAACGACGCACAGGAAAAACGATTTGATGAAATGAGAATACTTGGTATGATTTGAAGTGTATATTGGGAACCGACTAGCTTGTTGCTGAAGCATTTAAACGTTATAAGGCTAAATATATTGTTATGCAAACAATGGTAAATGCATGAAAACACATAAGTTTAACTTCCGTTAGTAATGTAATTTTTAACTTAGTTAAATGACTTTAAACTTTTTCTTGAATATTCGCAAATATCAATCGAAATACCTATCTAAATCTCTATTATTCTTTCCTATTGACATATGCCTAAGCCGTTGCCTTTTGAGCTGAATGACAAGCCTGCAAAGCAGCAAAGCAACAATTTATAACTCAGTTCTAGATTAAAGCAAACAAAAAGGACCTTTGTCCATGTATACAAAATCAATATTCATTAAATGTTTCGTCTTGACGGAAAACGCTTCATCATAATAAATTTTATAGAGCCATGCAATAAGTAGAACAGATAATGTCACTCCACTTTTTTAACGGAAGGCAATAAAATAATGAAAATAAATATTGTAGCATTTCATGGGTGGAGTGGCGTGGAGTTCTTGTTGCTAAATTTTCTAAAATTCCAGCACAGCAGGATAAATAATATATTTATATTTTACATGAATTCATATCTTAGGCCTGTTTCAAACGTCGAACTTTACAAGAAAAAATAAAATGAGATAAACTTCCTCATTTACTTTTGATTTAAATGCGTTCGGTTCATGTAAAGTTTGACGTTTGAAGCAAGCCTTAGAGATGGGGATCACATCAGTTGGTTTTATGCAACAGAAATATGTGGCCAAACATCAGTTTGTGTCAATTTTTCATATTAAGCAAGTAAATCTATTTTTATTACGTTTAAATTACATATCGTTCGTTGAACGGCAATGATATTTTTAAAGTAAATGGTTTGAACCCGGAAGTATCGTTACATGTTTTTAACGATACTCCCGGGTTCAAACGAACATAAAGGACAAAGAACAACCCAACGAACGGCAAGGTGCAGTTTACAAAATAAACTGCACCGACTGCCACGCCTTTTATATCAGGGAAACTGGCAGGAACATAAACATAAGACTTACTGAACACAAACGAGCTACTAAGAAACAAGACAAAACTAATCACATTGCCGAACATCACCGAATCACAAAGCACAACATTGACTGGGACTCGGCAAAATGCATTACTTACAGTACTGACTACAGACAACGGCTTACATAAGAAAGTTGGTATACCAACTTGGAACAAACCCCCCTTAACAGATCACAGCAATTACAGGCACTTTACAGACGACTTATTCACAATAGAAACAAACGATCAACTAAAAACTACGGTGGCTCACAAGGGCCACCACACAAAATAAAAATATTAATACACACACAAAATAAAAATACACACACAAAATACATTATACACACACAAAATAAAAATACACACACAAAATACATTATACACACACAAAATAAAAATACACACACAAAATAAAAATACACACGCAAAATACATTATACACACACAAAATAAAAATGCACACACAAAATAAAAATACACACGCAAAATAAAAATACACACACAAAATATGATTGCGGGCGCTTGCAGTGCCAGCTTACTCGGAATTGCTCGTAATTGATCGCTTTTGTTTTCAAAGTTCTAATGGTTCCAACTTCCAGAGTACATAACAAAATTCACTGATTTCACTGTGATCAATTATTTCAAAGTTGCTTACGATATTGCTCCCCGTATTTTGGTTAAAATTAAGGTTAATGTGTTGTCCTTTGAAAGGACATTATTGGTCTAGCCTGTCCTGTACCAGTTATAAACAGCTTTGGGGTACTTGAAGTTGAAGTTAACGGACTTGCAGAGCTCGAAGGGCAACTGCTTGAAGAGACGCTACTCGTCATTGACGCTTCAGAACATTTTGGCAAAGAAGTTAATCTTCCCAAACGCACACCGCATTTGTGACAAAAAGAAGCTTTGTCAAGTGATTGTGCACCACAGTTGGCACAAAACAAATTATGCCATGGTTATGCAAGAGCTTGCTTTCGATTCCTTTCCAAATGTAATGTCAAATGTTTCGCAGTTGAAACAGTTAAATACAACGACAAGTCGACCAAATGTTAAAATCACAATTAGTGAATTACACATATCTGATTACAAACTGATAATATGATAGTCAGACCATCCGACACTGCAAGCGCCCGCAATCATATTTTGTGTGTGTATTTTTATTTTGTGTGTATTTTTATTTGGTGTGTGTATTTTTATTTTGTGTATGTATTTTTATTTTGTGTGTGTATAATGTATTTTGTGTGTGTATTTTTATTTTGTGTGTGTATTAATATTTTTATTTTGTGTGGTGGCCCTTGTGAGCCACCGTAAAAAACATTACACTTCACACTAATTCACAATGACAATACACAATTGACACCCACACATTACAACTAAAAATAAAATATTTCACTTCACACTAATTCACATTGACAATACACATTTCCTGTACACACAATACAAAGACGTAAGAACCAGATAACAAATACGGCTAACCTGACGTTTACTCCTCATTTGACTCTGAAGATGACTACCGCTAAGGTTGTCGAAACGTCAGTCAACAACAACAAAAACAGTCCTTCTCAGGACTTTATAAACCTGGACGATCATCATTTACAAACATGTAATGATATTTTTACTTTTATTTTCTTTCCAGACGTACAGACACGTCTTTCGCACGTGCTTTGCATGTGACAGAATCGTGTTACTACAAATGAACAGATAATCTTTTGTCGGTGGTAACTAAAATTTTTAGAAAGCTAATAACTAATTACATATGATCGCGTTGTCGTTAGTATAAATTAACGCTGAGTTTCATTTCATATTAGAATAAAACACAACGGCTTTTTTGTAGCTTTCAGTGACGTGGCTAGCTTGAAAATTAGTCTTGCTATGCAAATTTTTTGTGTTTACTCGAGCACTGCAAAAACAATGAATCCCTAAATACTGCTCTGAATTTCATATATATTACATATCTCTCGTTGAACGGCAATGATTATTTTTTGTTCCTCCTCGCCCTTACAAAATATTAAGTCCAGGGGTGAAAAATTTATATAAGACCTGATTATCATAAAAAGCTAAAGCATGCTATATACGGATTTTTTGAATTATTATCTGCAAAACTTCGTGAAAATGAACAAGAAACAAAGATGACCATTTTGACAACATTTGACAGTGGTCGACAATTTACTTTCAATGCAACTTGATTTTTTAATGCAATTTAATTAAACGAGGACAACTAAATCAACTACAGCAACTTTTTGTAAAAATTCTCAACTTTATGATATGATATATTAGCGTCCTCGTATCGGGGTTGCCACAGTAACATCTAGCTGTATCGAGTGCATCCCTCGTTCTTAATTTTTTGCCAATAACCAAGAGTTGAAGAGCTCCTATATCCATTTGGTCCACCATTATGAATTCGAGCATAATCTTCACACGTAGGATTGTGGCGAAGTCGAGCATAGGTGGCATATTTGTTCATATAATCTGTAAACAAATAAATTTTAAGAGTTGTTTTGAAAATATTTAAATAATTTTATAATTTAGAATTGAGATCCGAGATCGTGGATTGTGAAAAGAATAAATCTGTTCAATATATATATATATATTTACGAAAACACACAATATAATTAACCCTTTTCTGCATGATTTTTTGGGGCATGAAATTCCATCAAGTCCATTATTTGTTGCTCTCAAGCTACACTGTGTAAGAAAGGGTTAAAACTAAGCAGTCACAATACTAGTGAAGAGTAAAATTAAATTAATTGTTAAATAAAATGAAATTTTTCATTTCAATAATTATAATAATTATTATTGATTTTTACCTTTATTCCTTAAAATTGTGATAAATATTTATTATGATTAAAAAGTTAAATGAAATAACATGGAAGCCACTCTTGGTGGTATAGAAACAAGTTTCGTTTTGCAGACACTAAATCACATCATGAATACAAGGAAAGTAGGTCTTAAAAATTTTTCTTTACGAAATGAAAAGATTGCATGAACGCGCTTTGTTTTAAAGAATTAATATCCTATTAGCAATATATGTTTTACTCTGAGACTATAAAAAAGAAATAGCAGCAGAAGCCTTTTCTCAACTGTTAAACTGAAAGCCAAAAGTTCCCACTCTCCAAAAATAATTTTAAGTAAATGAGAAGAACCAACGAAAGTTTCTTAATGCTATCACAAAGATTCTTCAATAAAGCGGTTGACAAGTCTAGGATCACAATGTCAATAAGTTCTCACGTTGCTTATCGGAAATCAACGTTGCAAGATCTTTGTATTTTTTGATTTGGCTTTCTCTCGCCTGACTCCATACAATCTAATTTTTTAAATAGTATTTTACCAAAGAATTTATCTTACTTTGAATGGTAGTTTCTGCGCAAGAAAAAGTGTCAACGCATTGTCGATAGCCACGACCTGGACTTGAAGCGTCGGTCCAATAACCATATTGAATTTGATATGGTCCACAAGACCTGCCATTATCTCCACATCTTACAGATGTACTGCAGCCAGACTCAACATTGCAAATACATCTCAAGCAACTACTTGACACATAGCCTTAATAATAGTAATCTATAACGTTTAGCGATATATATGTGTAGCAGTACGAACATGAACGATATTTCATGCCATGGCTTAAATGTACAATAGAATATTCATACACGATGAAATTTCATGTAAATTGTTCATGTAGAAATTCTTCACTCACCTTGAACAGCATAAGGAAGAGCAACCAGCAACAAGCAAATATAAATGGCTGAAGACATCTTTTTGCTTTTCGTGATATTTTCCACGCTTTTACAAAGTTTTAAAAATTCAGTTTGTTTTTTTCTCAGGTTCGATCTCTTCTGCAATGCTCTGAGCTGACGGACGGCTACGCCTTTTTAATCATTCCATACCGGATGCTCTGAAAAGATGTTTTGAAATGGTAATTT